CACTGGGGCCTTCTGATATCTGTGGTGCAAGGACATCACTTCCTTATCTTGTGAGACTCCTTATGCAGATTTCCCCATTGTTCAAATGCTACCTGATGGGCCATTCTCTGCATTCTGAGACTACCCCTACCCTCAGAGACGTGGCTATCCCACTTGGAGGCTGGGGACAGCCAGCTAGGACAGGTCCCATGTCCCAGAAACCTGTGGGCCTGGTGACAGTGACTGCTGGCTGGCTGCTGCCTGTTAGGTGAGCGGAGAGGGAGGCTCACCCCGTTCTGGGACAGGTGGACACATCTGTGTTTGGAGCCCCCCTAATGAGCCCAGGTGGTCTCCCAGTGCATGACACTGATGGCACGCCATCCCTGCCAAGACTCTGCCTTCGAAGGCTCTCTTTGCTTTGCAGGTTGAGCCTGGAGTTCAGCACCACCCACTGAGCTGGCCTCACATGCTGGACACATGGTCTTCTCCTGGATCGGTGCTCTTCCATCCTCCGAGGGTGTTAGAGCGACTAGTACACTCTTTCCTGATTAGACAGAATAATGATTGTTTTGAAAATCACTAAGATAGCGAAGAAAGGGCTCCTTCTGCCCAGCTTTGATGTTCCTAGTTTACAAAGGAGAGGGCAGGGAGAGGTGAAGGTACAGTAATGGGGCACCCCAGAAGATGAAGGACACAGGACAGTGACCCTACTTTGCTTAGCTGTGCCACTGTGTGTGTGTGTGTGTGTGTGTGAGAGAGAGAGAGAGAGAGAGAGAGACTAGGATTTGAACAGAGCCATGCCCCCAATCCTTTTTGCTTTACATTATTTTATAAAAAGTCCCCCTCGCCTTTTTGTCTTTTGGCCTGCGGTTGACTTCAGACCACAATCCTTCCATCTGTGCCTCCCTGGTCAGAGTTTTGACTCAGAGCCCTCACCCAGGCTGGTGAGTGGGATTAGTACTTGGGACCATGGATTGCAATAGAAGAGGACCTGGCCAAGGCTTGGATCCTGAGGTGCCCAGGAGCAGGCTGGGTTTGGCTTCTCTGGGAGAGGAGTTGTGACCTTTACTCAACTTTGTAACAAATAATTATATTTTACATCAAATAATTATATTGTACAGATAATTATATTTTGCATTATCATTCTCAAAGTAGTCAGGTTCATTATAGGAAATTTAGAAGTGTAACTAAGGAAAAAATAAAGAAATAAAAAAATACCTGCTTGTCATGCTGTGAGTGTTTAGTATACCCTATCTAGCTTGACTGCTCGTTGCTGAGTACTGTCCTTGGTCCAGCAATGATGGGTGGGAAAAGTAAATTCTGCCCTCATCTCCCCCCCCCACGCCCCTTCCCAGCTGGTTCTTATTGTCAGCCATTAGGTGTCCAGACCATTCTCCAAGCTGGGCGGCCACTCCAGGGCCAGGCAGGAGCCAGGCATGATCCCTGCCAGGAATAGCACAAAGTTCAGAAATCCATGGCTCCTGCTTTTTTTTGCCTGTCCTGGGGCTTAAACTCAAGGCTTGGTCACTGTCCCTGAGCCTCTTTGTGCTCAAGGCTAGCGCTCTACCAGTTAAGCCACAGTTCTACTTTCAACTTTTTCTGAGTAGTTTATTGGAGATAAGAGGCTCATGGACTTTTCTGCCTGGGCAGGCTTCAAACCATGATCCTTAGATCTCAGCCTCCTGTGTGGCTGGATTATAGGCATGAGCCACTGGTACTGACTTGGCTCCTGCTTTTGTAATGTTTACAAAAGCTATGCAGGTTGAGAGGTTGAGTTGAGCATGTAATCAGGGCTGGGTTTTGAGGGTAGAATGTGGGAGCAGGGAAGAATGGAGGGGGAGGAGTGTGGTATGGAAGGCTGACACTCGCTTCTTGGTCCTATGTGCTGGCTGCTCAATGGTTCTGAGAGTTGCTGATATCTTCACACTTACCGCCAGCCTTAGGCTGCAGTGTGCAGAGTCAGACTGTCCCACCTGTAGGGGTAGGGGTGGAGGGGTGGAGGGAGGCTGCTGGGACATACATAGTTCTGAAACTCAGTGGGGCCATCAGATTCCCCAACTCAGGATGCTCCTAGGCATTGAGGAGCCCTACGCTTGCTGACCACTGTCTGGTAGTGGACAGCAGTGGTTGGCCACTTCTGTGTACTTCTAAACCAGCTCTACCATTGAGTCACAGATAGCCACTTCTGGCTTTTTGGTAATTGTGTGCCGGGCTCTAAGGCCCAGGGAGGAGTAAGGGCCAATCTTCTCTAGCCTGGGGACAACGGAATGAAAGCTCTGGGTGGAGTGAGAGTTGGGAGAGAGGGCTGCTGCCAGGTGAGAAGGTCCAGGCTTGTGCATTCCTCCAGACCTTTTGGAGATGGGTTCAGTTTTTAAAAGATTCTGTCCTTCTGTCCTCCCTGGCCGCCTGTTCTGCCCTTCCAGCTGCAGCTGTACACATCTGTGTTGTGTGCTGGCCACTCTTCGAAGGCACCAGCTGGGGCCTGTCATTGCCTGCAGGTCCTGGGAGGCCAGAGTGGCTAGGGCTGGAGCTGGAGGGGGTGCAGCAAGCCACAAGGAGGAGAGGGTGTTCCAAAGGGAACAGCCCCGGGTCTGGCCTCCGCTGCAGCTGTGGCCAGCTGTTATGTCCTCCGGGTCCTTATCCCGTCCATGTTTCTCTCCATGGAGCTGTTGCCCACATCCCACTTGGCCAGGCTGCTGGGAGGGGACTGGGGAGCTGAGGTGAGCTCCGTTTGGGGCCTGTGGAGTAGAGAGAGGTTCCAGTTGGGACCTGTGGAGATTCCCTCCCCCTTCCTTCTCCCTTCCTTCTCTCTCCCCTGCTCCGCTCCCTCTCTTCCTGCCTGCTTTTCTGTTTGGAGAAATAGGGCTCATTCTTTCCACCACTGCTGAACTTAAAAGAAAAAAAAGAAATTGGACAGTGTGTGAAGAGTGGGTGATGGGGCTCTTGTAAATACAAGGTGCTGTTGAGAGACTCCTGGGAACTTTCAAGAATGTCAGAGCTGAGTGGAAGTGGGAAGGAAGCCAGCTGTGGTTTGAGAAGGTTCTGGAAAGGTGGATGAATCTGGTAGTCAGCCATCTTCTCTGAGTCCCCAGAGAAAGAGCCCGCTCTGGGGAAGGAGTCTGAGCATAGTGAGAGGCTGCCTGGGAGCCGTTTGCCTTGGAGCCCAGAGCTGGGGTTCAGAGCTGGGAGCGGGTATGCACTGAGCTTAGCGGTGGACTCCCTTGGCACCGGTTTTATGTGGACTCTAGCCCCTTCATTCACATCTTGAGGTAACGGTGAAAGGGAATGTACAGTTGAAAGCAGAGTCCCTCCATGCCCTGCTGCATTCCAGGCTGCAGAGTAGAACTGTCAGCATAGGTTCCTCTGGTCCTGGCCTGTGAGTATTAGGTGGAGTCTGTGGCCATTGAGCTGGAAATGCATGTGGCCCATCCGCCATGTCTGTCACCTTCAGCATGGGGTTCCTAAGCCTCTTCCTTTCTTTCTCCTTCTCCTTTCCCTTCCACAGTTCTCTCCCCTGGTGTTTTTTTTTTTTTTTTTTGGTGGTCATGGGGCCTGAACTCAAGGTCTGGGTGCTGTGTCAGAGTTTCTTTTGCTCAAGGCTAGCACTCTACCACTTTGAGCCACAGCTCCACTTTCCATTTTCCAGTGGCTAATTGAAGATAAGAGTCTCGTGGATTTTCCTGCCCAGGCTGGCATTGAACCACAATCCTCAGATCTCAGCCTCCTGAGTAGTTAGGATTACAGGCCTGAGCCACAATGCCTGGCTTCCCTTGGGTCTTTCTTCCTTCATTCCTAGATAATTTTATTGTCTGTTCAGAGGAGAAAAATCACCAAATGCGGATAAGCCAAAAAAGGAGGTAAAAGTTGTTATAATGTCATCTTTTGAAGAGAACTGGGAGCGTCTAATGTGGCCTTTGTCCTCACACCACCATCTTGAATGAGTGGGGAGGGGGACAGAACTCCCATGATTTATAGAGTACCACCTACTATTGGCTGGAGGCAGTTCCTAGTATTTTGTACTTGTAAACAACACTCTGTTCCTCAGATCATCACTGTGATCCACATGTCAAACACATTTGTAAGTGTTTCTTTAGGAAGAAAGAGTCCTACAAGGGAGTTGCTGAGTTCCTGCTCAGTGCTGAATTCAGGGGCCCATGTTTACTTTGACAAGGAGATCTGCTAAGAGCTCATCACCTGTCTGCTGTTTACTTTGACAAGGAGATCTGCTAAGAGCTCATCACCTGTCTGCTGTCTATGAACTCATGAACTCATAGCTGCATCATCCTGTGTGCTCTATTCAGTAACACTGTAACTAAAAGTGGAAGGATACAGAAAAGATTCTTATGGCCATTGTGCAAGGATGATATATTGAATTCCTCAAGTGCCCCTTCTCCCCAAGACTGTCCTTCGGCCTCCTGTGCCATTCAAAATCCCTCACATCCAAGTGACGCTTTCCTGTCTCCTCCTTCCTACAGTCTTGCATTTGCTGCTTCTCCCAGCCTAGGCCTGGCCTTTGATCCCTGTCACTACTGAACCCCTTCCTGCCTTATTTGCACTAGGGATTGTCAATTCATTGTTGTTATTGTTGTTTTGTGCTGGTACTGGGGCTTGAACTCAAGGCCCTTAGCTTTTTTACTCATAGCTGGTGCTCTACCATTTGAGTCACCAAAAGCCACTTCTGGCTTTTTGGTGGGTAACAGGAAATAGGAGTCTTACAGACTTTCTTGGCGGGGCTAACTTCAAATCATGATCCTCAGTTCTCAGCCTCCTGAGTAGCTAGGATTACAGGCATGAGCCACCAGTGCCCAAATAGGAGATTATCAGCTCTTAAGGGGCTAGGATTGGTTCCTTGTATCTGTCTTCAGAGGACCAGGCACATGGCAGGGATCATCCAGGGGTCCTGAGAGTCTGAGACCCAGAGTGAGCAGCAAATTGGCCTGCAATGCTGCGGTGTGTGTGTGTGGCCAGCCAGCGCTTTCCTGCTGTGGCTTTTCCAGCATTTCATGCTTTCTCATCCACAGGTCTGGGGTCCTGAGGCTGCCAGCAGACTATGGGTACAACGGCCAGCACAGCCCAGCAGACGGTCTCAGCAAGTGCCCCCTTTGAGGGTCTCCAGGGCGGAGGCACGATGGATGGCCGGCATTCCCTCAGTGTCCACTCCTTCCACACCACAAGCTTGCATAACAGCAAGGCCAAGTCCATCATCCCCAACAAGGTGGCCCCTGTTGTGATCACGTGAGTGCCAGGGGAAGACATGGCCCCGGGGACTTTTGTGGAGGTGCAGCAGCATACAGCCTTTAATACTTACAGATTGCTTGTAGTTTCATAGATGAATAACAGTGAGGCCCAGAGAAGCAGTTTTTCTGGAGCCATACAGCCAGAATGTAGCTGGGCTGGATTTCTGTTCTGAGTCTCTGAGCCCTGGTTACTTGTAACTCTTAGGTCCACAGCTGCATGGAGAAGGAAGTGGAGGAGAGCGGACTCAATATTGAAAATATACTTTTTGTTTTTGGCAGTAATGAAGTTTAAATTCAGGGTCTGGTCCTTGCTTAGGCAGGTATTTTAACCACTTGAGCCAAATGTCTAGCCTTGAAAAATAATTTTTTTTTTCCTGGTTGTGGGGCTTGAACTCAGAGGCTGGGTACTGTCTCTAAGCGTTTTTGCTCAGGGCTAGTCCTCTACCACTTTGAGCCACAGTGCCACTTATGGTTTTCTTGTGGTTTATTGGAGATAAGAGTTTCATGGACTTTCCTGCCCAGGCTAACTTTGAACTGTGATCCTCAGATCTCAGCCTCCTGACTAGATAGGACACTATCTAGCCACTGGTGTCCTGCTAAAAAATTTTTTTTGTGTGTCTGTATGTGTCAATACTGAGGATTGAATTTCAGGCCTGGGCACTGTCCCTAAGCTTTCTCTGCTCAAGGCTGGCTTTCTACTACTTGAGACACATCTCCACTTCTAGCTTTTTGGGTAGTTAATTGGAGATGAGAGTCTCATGAACTTTCTTGCCTAGGCTGGCTTTGAACTACAACCCTCGAATCTCTTCAAAGCCTCCTGAGTAGCTAGAATTATAGGCATGAGCCAGTGGCACCTGTCTGAAACGTTTTTGAGTAAATGGTTTCAAAGGATATATATACAGATATGTATATATACATATCTATATCTATATATATATATTGAGAGAGAGAGAGAGAGAGAGGGAGTTTCATGAAATTTAGGTGTTTTTCTTTCAAGTCATGTGAGTTGGGGCCTTCAGGGACATTTGCTGGAGGAGGAGAGCATACTTCGAGAGACCTGAGCACACTGCAGCGTGCAGAGGTGGTGGGTCAGGAAGGGACCTGAGACTATCTGTCTGTGGGGCAGTGTAGATAAAGGAGTGGGTGCTGGGAGCCACAGATCAGGAGGACAGAGAGGCATTGGGCCTGGGTCCAGGGGAGTTAGGAAGTCCTATGCTTTCTATTCCTTCTGCCCACAGCAAGTCCCTACCTTTGTAGATACCAAGACATTGTGAGCTAAGAATTAAGTATATAGCCTGCACAGGAGTTGGGCAGAGACTAGAAGATGGGGCCTTGCATGGAAGGAAGCCTGTGGTGTGGGAATGGCCAAGCCTTCCAGTCAGGAAAGTCATTCTGATAGATTACTGACCTCCGGATAAGGAGAAGAAAGAGACGTTATATAAATGTCTCTGTTCTGACAGATGATAAAAGTGCATTTGAGCCTTGAAGGCGGTCTTTCCTTTGCAGGCTCCTTTCTCCGAGTCTTCGTTTCCTTATCAACATAACTAGAAATTATTTAACCAGATAGTGTACTCATGAACTGATATGTGGAATTGGTACAGCTAGTTAAATAAAACAATAATAAAAGAATAGCCAGGTGGTACGACTCAGAGAAGTCACTAGCCAGCTGTGTAGATCCGATCTCTCAGGGGAAGACATATGGCCTAGAGCTGGCTGTGAGCACAGCCCACCTGGGTTGAAGCATGTCTGAGGTTGAAGGGACCTTAGTGATCATCCTGTAGGGAAACTGGCATGCTACATCCTTTAAGTCAAGTCTGGCTCATCACCTGTCGATGTCCTTAAGTTTTATTGAATGCTGCCACACCCCTCACTTCCATGTTGTCTGGCTGCCTTAGCACTAACGTGGCAGCATTGAGTAGCTGCAGCAGAGCCCTGTGGTCCACAAAGGACTGAAATAAACCCAGCCCTTGGCAGGAGAGGTTTGCTAGATCTAGAGAGCCAGGTGCTGGTGGCTCACACCTGTAATTCTCGCTACTCAGGAAGCCAAGATCCAAGTATCACAGTTCAAAGCCAGCTTGAGCAGGAAAGTCTGTATAACTCTTACCTTCAGTTAACCACCCAAAAAGTCAGAAGTGGAACTGTGGCTCAAGTGGTAGAGCTCAGGGACAGCACCGAGACCTTTGAGTTAAAGCCCCAGGAATGGTACACGTGTACATGCACACACACAGACACCCCTTCCAAAAAAAAAAAAGTCAGATCTAGCTTTGAAACTGAGTGTGAGTGAGGCAGAGAGTCAATGAAAGAAGAGCTGGAGAGAGCCCAGGTCTCCTGACTCCTTGTGAAGTGTTCCTCCAAACCACTCATCTGCCCCTGCTTTCCAAAAAGCAGTTCTGTTTTTGAGGAACAGTACTAGGGTTTGAACTCATAGCCTTTATTCTTTTTTTTTTTTTTTGGTTGTGGGGCCTGAGCTCTGGACCTGGGCACTATCCCTCAGCTCTTCAACTCAAGGCTAGCGCTCTTCCACTAGAGCCACAGCTCCACTTCTGTCTTTTTCTGCTTATGTGGTGCTGAGGAATGGAACCCAGGGCCTCAGGCATGTGAGGCAAGCACTGAGTTACCTTCCCAGCTTTATTCTTGTTCGGCTGGTGCTCTACTACTTGAACCATGTCTCCAGTTTTAGCATGATTATTTTGGAGACAGAATGTAATGAACTTTTTTGCCTGGGCTGGCTTTGAACTGTAATCCTCCTGATCTCAGCCTCCTGAGTAGCTAGGACTATAGGCATGAGCCAATGACACCTAATACTAAAGGCGGTTCTTTTGTAAAGAGGACCCCATAGCACACCACAGCTGTTTTCAACCAGCACTGTGGTTTTGTGTCTCAAGTGCTGTTGTTTTGCTCTTTGTACCTTTACCTGGCTTAGCATTTATATAGAAGTCATGATTTCTTACTTGTGTGCTTGTTTCAAATGGCCCTCTGTGGAGACAGAACCACTACTAGTAACATAACTATGTTCGTGAATGCTGCTAACTCTGCTCAGGCACTGAGCTGAGCACTTACCTTCTTAGTGCTTTCAGTTCTTACCAAAGTCCTTGGAGGAAGGAGATCCCAGGAGTAGAGCCACTATCCAAAGCCACAGAATCTCCCAGGGGCAGGGCTGGGGCTCATCTTACATACCTGTGGGTTGAACTACCACACGAGGCTGTGGGCCATGGAGTTGTCCCTGTAGGCATTGCTCTGCACACAATCCCAGCAGTGGACTGCATCACAGGAGAATCCCAAACTAGAGGCCTGAATCAAGGCAGGTCATTTCTCTTCACTTGGACTTGCCCTGCCTTGCTCCAGGGATCAACCTGTGCTGTCTGCCTTGTAGTCAGTTAGATGGCAGTCCTACTGCTGCCGTCAGGTCTGGACTTTGGCTAGGAGAAAAACAGAAGACATTGAAGGCATTTCTTTTGGGAGTGGCCCAGAATTTGTTCCTCACATCTCATTGGCTAGGATATAATCACTTGACCACAGCTAGCTGCAAGAAAGGTTCAGAAATACAGTCCACAGCTGAGTGGCCTAATCGCCAGTTACAGTTCTGGGGTTCTGTGTCTGAGGAAGACGGGAGAAGCAGCTCTTGGGGGAGTCTGCCACAAATGGGTAGCCACATGGGAGAGGCTTTCTGTGGACTTTGTTGTGGGTGGAGGGACCCAGACCCTGACCATGGCGGTCATCTGACTTGGTGTTTTCTCTGCCTTTGGTAGGTACAACTGCAAGGAGGAGTTCCAGATCCATGATGAGCTGCTCAAGGCCCATTATAAGCTAGGCCGGCTCTCGGACTCTACCCCTGAGCACTACCTGGTACAGGTGAGAGCTGCCCTCCCAGCCTCCTCCTGGCCTCTAGAGTCCTTTCTCCTCTTCTTCTCCTCTTTTCTCCTTTGCCTCAGCTGTTTGTAAAAGCAGCGAAGCTCACTCTTCCAGCCACCCTCTGGGGTTCTCACCTGCTGGTTTCTTGGGCCAGTTCCTCCATCTGTATTCTCTGCCTGACTCTAGTCTGCCTCCTCCTCCTCTTCTCCCTACCCCACCCCTCCACTGCCTCTTCCTTCTCGTCCTGAGGACTCCAGCATCATTCCTCCACCCCCCTCAGCTTGCCCAGGCTGGAGTCTCCATCTTGCTCCTTCAGAATTTCAGATCTTCTCTGGTTTAGGTACTCCCCTCCCCTCCCCCCCCATTTCCCCTGGAAAGTGGAGTCCATGAGGGGTGATAGCTTCTCATCTGTTTTATTCACTTCTGTAGTCTCAGAGCGTAGAACAGTTGGAAGCAGTGGAGATGCAGAATAAGTATTTGACAAATGAGTGCCTGCTTGGACAACAGGCTGAGTGAATTTGAAGGAGGTGCTGGCTGGGAACTTCTGGCTTGGCTGGGACTTTAGGCATTGTGGGTATGAGGCCTGCTGGAGGTGGGGGCTTCAGGAGACGATTAGGGCATCTCTTTGCCCAGGAACCAACTTTTTGGCTTCCTCTGACAGTACTTAACCCTATTTTCCCCAATGGGCTTTGTATATCTTTTTCTCTGTCTGATACCCTCAGCAAAGGGTCCTCTGGTTCATTCCTGGTGCCCTAGATGTGACCCCTTCATCGGGCCCCTTCTCTATTCTCCACAAGAAATATCTGTCTTCTTCCAGGGGAACTGCAGGCCCACCCTAGCAGTATGTTTACCCTATAATGCCTCTTCTTGCTCTAAGCCTTGGCTCCAAGGCCATGAAGCTGTTTTTGATTCTCCCTTAGGAGTTGTAGCTTTTCTTTTCCTGTGCTTTATCATATTTTTTTTAAAACTTTTTTTTGTTGTCTTTTTTGATACTGGGGATTGGACCTAGGACATTGCAGTTGCTAGGCCACTGAGCTACATCCTAGCCCTATGATATTCTTAAGAAGATCATTTTTTTTTTTCCCCTTGAGACTGCAGGCAAGAGAGGGCAGAACCATGTCTGTTTCCCTCCCAAGTCTCTGTCCCCTGGAGCCCAGGATAGATATCTGCTTGTAGAAGAAGCCACCCATCCTCAGGTCAAGGGTGACTCCCTGAGGCTCTCCTCCTGCCAGGGCCGCTACTTCCTGGTGCGAGATGTCACTGAGAAGATGGATGTGCTGGGCACCTCGGGGAGCTGTGGGGCCCCCAACTTCCGACAGGTGCAGAGTGGACTTCCTGTGTTTGGCATGGGGCAGCCTAGCCTCTCAGGGTTCAGGCGAGTTCTCCAGAAACTCCAGAAGGATGGACACAAGGTGAGCACACAGCTTCCTACTCCAGCCCCTAAAGCAGGGAAGGGGGCTCCCCGGAAGGGACTGGCTGTAAGCTGGAGAGGGCTGGGGGAGTGGTCCGGACCAGGCTCTGACAGACCTTGTGTGCCAGGGTGGGCACAGTGGTTGGTGAATGTTATTATTGCATTGTTCTGTGTGGACATGGAATCCACTCAGAAGCACTCATACTCCCTACTCTGAGACCTTCCCTCGAAGGTAGGGGTAGTGAGAGGGACCAGACCACCAGTCCAGAGACTGTCAAACAACCATCACAGCTGACACTTCAATCCTGTGTCAACCTAGGAGGAAAGTACTGTTAGTCATATTTTACAGAGGAAGAAACAGGCCCAGATTGAATGAGACTTGTTCAAGGTCATAAAACTCACATGGAGGGCCCTAAGACTAAACCCTGGCAGCTAGACCCCAGGGGCCTACTGTCTCCTGCTCTTATCACCTGCCAGAAGCAGGCAGGTTTTTTGTTTGTTTGTTTTGTACTGGGGCTTCAATTCGGCAATTGGGTACAGTTCTTTAGCTTTTTTGCTCAAGGATAGTGCTCTACCACTTGAACCAGAGCTCTACTTCTGCCTTTTTAGTGGTTAGTTGGAGGTAAGAGTTTCAACAGACTTTCCTGCCTGGGCTGGCTTTGGACTGTGATCCTCAGATCTCAGCCTCTAGAATTACAGATGTGATTCACTAGCACCCAGCTTGAGGTTTTGCTGTCTCCTGGGCGGGGCTGCTAGCACCTCAGAGCTTCTCCACCCAGCCTGTGCATATCTCAGTAGATGTGGAGTAGGAGGATCAAGATGCTCAAGCCACCTTTTTCCTCGTTGGACCTGTGGAAGCAAGATGGGTCACCAGCAGCTCTACTGGAGTCACCCCCGAAAATTCGGCCAGGGATCTCGCTCTTGCAGCGTGTGCTCTAATCGCCACGGTCTGATCCGGAAGTACGGGCTCAACATGTGCCAGCAGTGTTTCCGCCAGTATGCAAAGGACATCGGCTTCATTAAGTTGGACTAAGTGAATGGACTATCCAAGACTTCAAGCCCAATGAAATACCATATTTGTACATAAAATAAAAATTCAAGAAGCCTTCAAAAAAAAAAAAAGATGCTCAAGCCAAGTGGATTAGGCTTGTGGATCCTCCTGGGCCCTGGGTTCCTCCAGGGCACGCTGTGCAGCATTGGAATCTGCCCCACAGAGTTACTTAGCTGGTTGCACGGCTGTAGGGGGTGTTTTTTTTTTTTTTTTCCCCAGTTGATGTTTATCCAGCACCTGCTTTATCCAGTCTCAGTGCTGAGCCTTGAGGGCATGTGAAAATGACCAGCTTATGCTCTGCCTGCAGTTGTACTTGAAGTCCATCCAGGGGGAAAAGATGCACTTACTGATAATGTTAGAGAGCAAGAATTAACTCCAGAGGTTCAGATAAAGCCTTTTGCTGACTGGAAGGGTCAAGAGCTAGAGGCATTTGGGCTGAACTTAGTTTCTTAGTTAGGATTGAGGTTGCTGACTTGGGCAGGTGTTGGGCCTGTGAGGAGGGGGGAGCTGCCCAGGCAAAGACCCAGAGGTGGTGCAGGGAACAGGTGTCTATGTTGGGTGATGATGGTCTGGCCTCCTTCCTACAGGAGTGCATCGTCTTCTGCGTGAGGGAGGAGCCTGTGTTGTTTCTTCGTGCAGATGAGGACTTCGTGGCCTACACACCTCGGGACAAACAGAGCCTTCATGAGAATCTCCAGGGCCTGGGGCCTGGAGTCAAAGTCGAGAGCTTGGAGCTAGCTATCCGGAAGGAGGTGAGGGCCAGTGGAGTGTGTGTGGACCGTTCTTCACAGTTAGGGAAGCTGAGCTGAGACCCCAGCCCACAGTCCAGCCCTCTCTCTACCTGGGCCTGCTCACCTGCCTCTCACTGGCCCCCACACCTTGCTTTTATGCCTCAAGCAGCTGGTTGCAAGGCTGGCTTCCTCTAGCCAGAGGAAGGATTTCTTGTCCTTGCTCTCCTGTCTCGGCCTCCCCAATCGCTCCACTTCTCCCAGCACCCCGTTTCTCCCTCAGCACTCAATACCTGCACTTAGAAAGGGATCTTGCAGGTGAGAAGAGCCTTGGACTGAGAGGCCCAGGGCTGAAGCTTGTCTGCTTCTGTACTATTGAGTCCTAGGAAGTTACTCTTGGAGGCCTCTTGTCTGTCTGTCTTTGAGAGTTCCCTGTCCTCCTCTTTGTTCTTCTATAAGGATTGAGGCTTGATGGTCTCTGTGGTAGCTGACCAGCCACCAAGATGTGTGAATGGAATGTGGGGTCGCAGTGGTCCATACACTGTGGGCAGGTCCTGAGGCCTTGTTAGTGACTAACCCCTCCCTGACACCCTTTCCGGCCTCCTTCCCACTTCCCACTTTCAAGCCTCACCCTGTCCTGGCACTCAGGTGGCTTGGCACATTCCTGCTGCCCACTGGGCAGAGCCCTCCTGTCTGCCCCATGGACAGCCCATGCATAGCTGGTTGCGCTGGGACTGGAGACTTCCCTGACACCTCCAGGACTCCCAGGAAGGCCATGGAGAGGGCCTCTAGCCACATGGTACCCTCTTGGAGGAAAAGAAGGCTGTTTGTGGCTTTCTGTATGGCCTGGTCACCAGAGGTCATCACAGTAGGAATGGTCGGGGAGGGTTCTGAAGGTCAACTCATGGTTCCCTGATCTGATGCACTTCATTCTAGATCCACGACTTTGCCCAGCTGAGTGAGAACACATATCACGTGTACCACAACACAGACAGCCTCCGAGGGGAGCCCCATGCTGTGGTCATCCGGGGTGAGGACGACGTGCATGTGACTGAGGAGGTGTACAAGCGACCACTCTTTCTGCAGCCCGCATATAGGTACCCATGGCTGGCCTTCCAGCTGCAGGCTGGACCATGCTCCTTGCACCCATGTCTCCCTTACTGGGGACAACATCCCAGCTGCGCTTGGGAATGGGGCTTAGGTTGAGGCCTGAGATGGGGAGGGAGTCTGCCTGATGTGCCCTCTTTCCCCTGGCAGGTACCACCGCCTGCCCCTTCCAGAGCAAGGGGCCCCCCTGGAAGCCCAGCTTGATGCCTTTGTCAGTGTCCTCCGGGTAAGTGGGGGCAGAGGCAGTGTGTGGGGGGCACTGTATGGGGCAGGTGCTTTGGGATTGGTCTCCATGGAGACACCTGTGGTGGGTGTGGCCTCTGGCTGTCCTCACAGGAGAGCCTCATTCATGCTGTGTGTGTGTGTGTGTGTCCCTTTGTGGCATGTGTACGTGTCTCTACGTGTCAGCATGTGTGTGTGTGTGTCTGTGTGTGTGTTGGTGTGCATTTGCACACCCTTTAGGGGTCAGAGCCAGCATTGAGCACTGGAGGACAGGCTTGTGGCCGTGGTGTGGCTGGAAATTTGTAGTGTGGTCTTGGAGACACCACCTGTCTCCAGACCTGCAGTTCCTCATTTTCTGTCGAAACTGGTGGTTCTTGACTCAGACTTTTTAGCCAGTGGCTCCTCAGTGCTGAGGGCCCTTCTTTCCTACCCTGGTTTGACTGGCTGGTTTGATACCGTCCTCAGCTCGCTGCACACAGTGCACTGATGTGGTGAGCTCCCTCCTGACTTAGTCCTCAGACTCAGAGCTTCTGGTACCTGCTGTTGTCTGATGTCATTCATGATCTTTTTCCCTAGGAGACACCCAGTCTGCTGCGGCTCCGAGATGCCTCTGGGCCTCCTCCTGCCCTCCTCTTCAGCTGTCAGTCAGGCATGGGCAGGACCAACCTGGGCATGGCTCTGGGCACCCTCCTGCTGTTTCACCACGGTGGTACCACCTATCAGCCAGAGTGAGTGGCCTGGGCCCCATCAATCCACAGAGCTCCCTGAGTGCCTCGAAAGGAGGGGGTGGGGCTTCCTGAAAATGCGGACATATCCAAGGACCCCTGAGCCAGAACTGGAAATGAGGCGCCTGGGGCTCATTTTCTGGTTTGCTGTAGGCTTGCTGGGCCTCAGTTTCCCCAGGCAGAAAGTGCCCCTTGCTTTTCCCCAAGGTATTTAGAAGGAGTGCAGTCTGGCGCCTCCTAGTGGCCATATGGGTGGTAAAGAATGGGCAGCATGGCTTTCCAGAAGCCTTGGGAGCCCTGATTATGCTCCTGACCCCCTACCTCGTCAGCGCTGCCCCCCCACAGACCAAGCAGCTGCCCATGGAGAAGTTCCAGGTCATCCACAGCCTCCTTCGTGCCGTGCCGCAGGGATGGAAGATGGTGGAGGAGGTGAGAGAGGGGCTGCGTGAGGAACAGGGCAGGGACCATGGAGGGAATGGTTTGGCTTCTGCTGAGGGTGTGTGTGTGTGTGTGTGTGTGTGTGTGTGTGTGTGTGTGTGTGTGTGTGTGTGTGTGTGTGTGTGTGTGTGTGTGTGTGTGTCATTCTCTGCCAATCCTGACCCTGTTCTCTTTCTCCTTGCCCTGGTCCCTGGCCCCAGGTGAACAGAGCTATCGCTGCCTGTTCGGAGTTGTATGACCTAAAGGAAGTGATCCTGGAGAGCCATAGGAAGTTGGAAGGTATCGGGCCAGAGAGCCCTGTGCAGGTGAGGCCTGGAGGGTGGTGTGAGAGCCTCTGTCTCCCCAAACCGTGCCCCTGATCTGGCTAGACCTGAGACTGGCTTCTTTCAGACTGACTTCTGGCTGCTGCCTCTCCTGTTTGTGGAGGGAGGAAAGGCAGGGGTGCAGGGCCTGGACACGGAAGAGGGGAAGTTTACTTTCCTAGACTTGGTCCCTGGCTGCAGAATAAACAGGATAGATAGAAGGGCTGCTGGCTGGGACTGCTGGATTCAGATACTTCTCAGATCACCTGTGGTTCCTAGGTTAGGCAGCTTTGCATTACTGTACTGAAATGCCTGAGATCATTTACTCGTAAAGATAAAAGATGGTGTATATCTATGTAATCCTAGCTACACAGGAGGCTGTGATCTGAGGATCTCTTTTGAAACCAGCTCAGGCAGGTAGAATGCAGCCAGCCCGGAGCATGTGTCCCTGGAATGTCACCTGCTGTGATTTACCAAACATGGATGAGTTATCATGTGTAAATACTTTTTGCTCTGGGCAACTTCATGAACATGAAAGCCTTTGTATAATCAGGACTTTTTTCTAGTCTAAATTATTTCCCCTTTTATCCCCCACCCTCTGTGTGGATCAGGGGCCAACCAAGCACAGCTCAGGGCTCATGCCCTGCTGCCACCTGTCTCTCCAGGTTTCACAGCACCAGTCTTTCTGGTGGCCCATGTGTTGCCGGCACTGCTCTCCTGCTGCAATGGCAGGGTTGAAGCGCTATGGCTGAGACCATGCCTCCACACCCTGTGTGTTTCCTGCCTGGCCCTTAAAAGGGCTTGCTGACCCCCACTGGAGATCCCCAAAGATGGGCTTGAACTTCATCCAAAGGAATGGGCCTTTTTTCAGGCTGATTCAAATCTCACTTGCCTTCCGAAGGGTAGAGAGCTGGCAGGAGAACCCAGAGATGCAGGATTTGGGGGAGACCCAGGGGGCTCCTCCTGTTAGCCCCCATAGCCCACAGGATTCTGGGCTGAGTTAGGATAAAGGAGGCCCTGCCTGTTTGCCTTCAGCTGTATGACTTGGAGGGAGTCACCTCATCTCTCTGAGTTTCCTTTTCTCCTTTGTAAATTAGGGGTAGTAATAATGTCCATTCGTACTATTGTGAGGGTGTCTGTTTTCCAGTGAGGGGTTCCTGGTTTATACAGGGCCTCCCTTAAAAAAGGGAAGGTGTTTGCATAATTACTCAGTGGGTGCAGAACGAGACTTAAGATGGCAAAATTCAGGAGCACAGTGAGGGACCAGCTTCCTGAACCTCCATCTCCAGACTGGTGCCTATTTGGAGAAGCAGCCCTTTCCCCAGAGCCACAGTGTCTGGTGTGGCCACCAGTTACTAGCATTCTCCTTGTACCAGACAGCAGCTTATGGAACAAAACTAGATGCTTGGATGAACATCTAGCCTGGCAGCATTGGTATAAAGTGGAATAGGGAGGAGATACTGGCTTATGGGATTTCCTAGGCTTAACTCTGACCCTTCCGGGCATGGAGAAGGGTGGCCTGAGAAGCCCTCTGTAAATTTTTAGCCAGGTTTTCACTTTTGCCCCTCCTTCCTGTGCCTTTGTCAGGGAAGTGGTGGCCAGCATAGTATGCGGCAGAGAGCGCTGAAGAGCCTGGAGCGGTACTTCTACCTGATTCTGTTCAACTACTATCTCCATGAGCAGGTGAGGCTGGGGAGACGCAGAAACCCTGCTTCGTTTCAGGAGGGTACCCATGGAATGGGGAATGGTAGGGATGTGTGTGTGTGTGTGTGTTGGTCCCTAAGGAAGGCTGCTGGGGCTGAATTATGAGAGGCAAGGAGGGACCCAGATGGAAGGGCCAAGCAGGCTTGTTCTAGGGAGGCCCTGCTGTTCCTTGCTGAGCCCCAGACTTGGTACCCTTAGCCTGGTCTTCTCCTACCTACTCCTCCTTCTTGCCCTGGGCCTCCTTCTTGATATTTCTTGGGGCTTCCCTTTTGCAGGGTGGGCAGGGAGAGGTTGGGTTGGTGCCACACCCTTGAACACCACATCTCTCTTGGCCTTGGGCTGTAGTACCCCCTGGCCTTTGCCCTCAGTTTCAGCCGCTGGCTGTGTGCCCACCCTGAGCTGTATCGCCTGCCAGTGACACTGAACTCTGCAGGTCCTGTGACTCCTGGGGCCCTCTTGGCCAAGGGCTCCCTGGTGAGTGTGATTGGCTATGGGGAGGGGATGGGCATGACTGGGGAGGTTCCCAAGGAAGCACTTGTAGCTTCCAAACCCAGAACTTGAGTAGAGAGTCAAGGGAGTCTTGGTCTCCAGCTTTTCATCTCTGAACCTCAAGCCTCCTCTGGAGTGGGGCGGTCACCCTTTGTGTCTTCTCTAGGATGCCCAGTGTGCAGCAGGGCCCCCGCACACTGTAGAGGGCTGCTTCCTCCCTCCCTTGCTTCCTCCCACTCCCCACCTTGGACAGGTCTGAACCCTGTGTGGCTGTTGGTTGTTGTGGGTCTCAAGCTCCCTGCTCTCCCCACAGAAGGCGGACGATCTCGTCTCCCCAGATGCGCTCAGCACCCTCAGAGAGATGAACGTAGCCAACTTCCGTCGTGTTCCCCGAATGCCCATTTATGGCATGGCCCAGCCCAGTGCCAAGGTGCCTGCTCCTGGGCTGGATTCCCAGTGTGGGACAGGGAGACAATTGGCCTTGTTTCTGATGACCCCTCTATTCCTCAGGCACTGGGCAGCATCCTGACCTATCTGATGGATGCCAAGAGGAAGCTGCAGCAGGTGGTATGGATCAACCTGAGGGAGGAGGTTGTGCTGGAATGTGATGGTCACACCCACAGCCTGCAGCAGCCCGGGTCCTCCATGACCCCTGACCAGTTAGAGGTGAGGCCTCCTGCCCTGTGCATGCCCCTGCCTTGGGTTGTGGTGGAGGGTTCAGAGGGTCCCACAGGCCTGCTGTGGGAGAAGCTGAGGTCCTGATGGGTGGTCTCAAGGAGGAGCTGATTCAGGACTCATACTCCATTGCTCTCCTCACCTTCCTTGGGAGTTTCTGACCTGAGCCTGGGGAGGGGTGGGGGGAGAGGTTGCCTATCCCCTGGACAGATCATGGCCCCAGTAGGCTTTGATCTCTCAGGGTTGGCCTGGAGGCTACCTCAGTGGCTTCTGTCCTCTCCCCTGCCCTTTCCCAGATCCTGGAGACCCAGCTAAAGGCCCACATGAGCCAGCCTGACCCTGTCCTGAAGGGCTCAGCAGCACCCAGGATCCAGACGTGCCTCACCACACAGGAGGTCTTCAGTCAGCACCGCGGTGTCTGTCCTGGCCTCACTTACCACCGCATTCCTGTGCCAGACTTCTGTGCCCCCCGAGAGGAGGTGAGGGGCCAAAGTCTCTGGAGGGACTGGATTCCCCCCCCCCCCACTTTCCCTCTGGGCTGGGCTCAGGGAGGAGAATGATAGCCTGCTCTGCTGTGTTGTTGGGGGATTGTCTCACACAGTTTTCAGACGTGCCCTTCCTGACCCTATGTGTGAGTGTGTGTGCACACAGGGGTTTGTTATTTGTTGTAGGTATGTCAATTGTGTGCTAAGAGGCTTTGTGTCCATATTGTGTTAGGTATGTATACACAGATTTGTGTGTGTGTATGTGTTGAAGGGATACATATGAGGAATGTGTTTTATGTATTGTAGGTGTGTGTGACAGGTGCATGTATGGGAGAGATATGGACAAAATGTGAACACATGTTTATCATGTGCCATGGGTGTATACACTGCATGTTACAGAGTGTACATGTGTGTTGGAGGGTGGTAGCCCTGTGGAGAGTGGGCTGGGTTCTTGTGTCTGTGATGTCTGTCTTGTCTTGGGGATCATGGGTGTAGAATGATCTTCACAGAGCTGTGGTGTTCAGGGTTGTGAGGAGGCTCTGGTGGGTTATTGAAGCAATCTTCCTGTGGCAGATGTGTGTTTGCAGTTGTCCTGACACATCAGAATGCTGTGTGTGCCAGCATGTAGTTTGGGGATAGCTGTGTGCTAGTGGTGTTCCCTGCTCAGCCTGTCCCACCTGGCTCTCTGTTGGACCAGGTCAGTTGCGGTTTGTGGTGTGCTGCCTCCTTGTGGCCGTGCTCTGTGATGGTCATTTGAGCTCAGGACTTGGTGGGCTGGCTGCAGCTCAAGTCATCAGGGATATAGCAAACACATGTATGTGTCCTGCAACATAGAGGATGGACACCTTATGGCTTGTGTGTATGCTGTGTGTTCACATGTTCATCCCAGGTCCTGGTATAGTTACAACAGTGCATCAGGATTCACATGCATGTGATCTCCTGTGTACCGTGTGTGTGTGTGTGTGTGTGTGTGTGTGTGTGTGTGTGTGTGTGTGTGTGTGTGTGTGTGTGTGTGTGTGTAAGTAAGGCTGCTAGCCTAGCAGTTTTTGACAGAGGTTCAGCTGTTGGGGTGGCTGTTTGGAAAGGTCCACACCCGGAGCCAGGGCAGCTAGACAGTACCCTGCATCTCAAACCATGGCCTCCTCCTCCAGGACTTTGACCGGCTGCTGGAGGCCTTGAGGGCTGCTCTCGCCAAAGACCCGGGGACTGGCTTTGTGTTCAGCTGCCTCAGTGGCCAGGGCCGGACCACAACTGCCATGGTGGTGGCTGTGCTGGCCTTCTGGCATATCCAGGTATGTGTGGCCTCCTGTGAGGACAGGGTCTGCCCAGCAGGGGTGGGCATTAGGCCAATCTGCAGGGGGTGCTGAGCTGTGGCATATGTGTCTGGACGGGGAGGGAATCCCTCCTCAACAGCTTTCCTCCCTCAGGGCTGTCCCGAGGTGGGTGAGGAGGAGCTTGTGAGCGTGCCCGATGCCAAGTTCACCAAGGGCGAGTTTCAGGTGAGTGTACTCCCAGGGGGAAACTGAGGAACTGCATGAAGAGTCCTGCCGGCAGCTTAGGGAGGGGTCTTCCCACTTCTCAGATGAGCCAGCCAGGGCCCAGGGCAGCTTGGCTCTGGGGCAGATGGCAGATGGCTTTAGGAGAAGGGGCTTCCTGGGGCCTTTTACTTCCTGGCCATGCCACATGTCTGGGTAAATGATGTCTGTCCCCCCCCCCCGGGCATCTGTAACCCAGCTGTGGTTGGCATCTTTGCATGGGGTCCTAGCCCAGACTGTCCTGTCCGTTTCCCTGCCCGAGACAGACTGCTGGATGGACAGTCACTGACATTTCAGTTTCAGTCACCATGCATCATGGACTTCCTGCTTGTCATATGTCATCTCATACACTCAGCGGGGAATTGGCACCTTCTAGATACAGGCATGTGGCTGCCTGGTGGTGGACATCATGGTCCGCTGCCCTACACCTGGCACCTGCTCCATGTGCCCCGCTGTCCTGACATACACAGCAGCTTGGACCCACCAGGCTGGTGCATCTCTGGGCTTTTTGCACATGTTTGTTCTTCTCCCTGGACTTCTTTCTTCCTTCTTCTGGCTGATTCTGATTCTTTTCATCTTTTTTTTTTTTTTAATGTGTCTATGCCAGTACTGGAGCTTGAACTCAAAGCCTTGTGCACTTGCTTAGCTTTTTCCATTCAGAGCTAGAATGGAAAAATGGCTCCTTATACCTGAGCCATACCTCCACTTCTAGCTTTTTACTGGTTAATTGGAGATAGGAATTTTGTAGGCTTTTCTTGCCCAGGCTGGCTTAGAACTGCCATCCTCAGATCTAAGCCTCTCAAGTAGCTAGGATTACAGGTGTGAGTTACCAGCACCTAGCTTCCTTTTCTTTTCTTACTTAAATATGTACTCAACAGAAAATGAACTTTTGTGGCTGCTCTTAAGTGTATAGTTCCATGGCATTAAGTATACATATGTTGTGTAATTATCACCATAGTCTAATTCTAGCTCCTTGCAAATCAGAAACTCTGTAGCCATGAAGCAGAAACTCCATTCTCCTCCTTCCTCAGTCCCGAGCAGTCGCCTGTCTACTCTCTGTCTATGGGTTTGGCCACTGAGTAGCTCCTAGAACTGGAATCCACAGCCTTTTGTGGCTGACTTATTTCATCTAGTGCACTATCTTCAGTTTCATGTGTATTATAGCATGTCCACACTCCATTCCTCTGTGAGCCTAAGTCATATTCCATTGCATATACACACCACATTTTATCCAGAAAGCTTTCTCTGTTGGAAGCTTTGTCAGTGATGCCTCTGTATACATGGGTAGAAAATACCTATTTGAGTCCTTGCCTTCCTGAAACTTCTTTTTTTTCTGAGCCTTAGTCTCACTGTGTGTCTCAGGCTGGCCTCAAACTCATGATCCTTTTGCCTAAGCCTCCAGTTTACAAGTGTGTGTCACCTTGCCTTACTGAGTCCCTGCTTTTTAGATATTTGGTGTGTGTATGTGGGGTGTACACTAAAAGCAGTGTTGCTAGGTCAAGTGTAAGTTTTATTTGTGAAAGAAAAATGGTAGCTTGGGGATGTGGCACTGTTTGCTTGCCCTCCCCCCTGCCTAAGAAGAAGGCAAGGTAAGTCTCTGTGGATAATGACACTGTATGTCGGGGGAGAGCCTGTCCATCCATCTGCTCATTGCTCCTCTTGCCCCAGGTGGTGATGAAGGTGGTCCAGCTGCTGCCTGATGGGCACCATGTGAAGAAGGAAGTGGACGCAGCACTGGACACCGTCAGTGAGACCATGACGCCCATGCACTACCACCTGCGGGAGATTATCATCTGTACCTACCGCCAGGTGAGCCCACCCAGCCGGCCCATGGCACTTCCATGTGTGTGGCCCAGGTAGTGGCTTGTGTGACAGGTTCTGCAGGCCCTTCCTCAGCACTTAGTAATGTTGCCACCTTCACAAGTGGATGAGATCCTGGAAATGGAAAAACCCCAACCCATGCACTTGGTTTTGTACATGTGGGGTGTATTTAGGAGGGTGGGAGGAACAAGAGAATTTGATCCCTGCAGTGGGCCTGAGACCATGTGAGGTCCTGGCCAGTGAGGATGAACCCCTGAGACTCCTGTGGGACCAGGAGACAACCCTCTAGTTGTACCTGGGCAGGAGTCAGCTGAGGAGCTAAGCCCTGGATGGCAGGGGCACAGTTCAGTATTTAACTCTGATGCTGCCCAGCAACAGGCTCTGGCCCTACATGCACTTATCTTGGTCTATTCTATTAAAAACCATTTTCGAATAACTCAAAGTTATTAAAGGAAGATCTTTTTTTCCATAACAGTTCAGAGTTTATATAGAGAATCTGGAGGTTCAGCTCCCTGGCCCTCCCTGCTGTCATAGTTGGCTCTCTTCTGCCAGTCACAGGACCCGTGGTCTTTTTTCATGTGTGTCAGGGCCCAGGCATTGTCCCTGAGCTGTTTTTGCTCAAGGCTGGCCTTCTATCATTTGAGCTCCACTTCCTGCTTTTCATTGGAGGTAAGAGTTTGATACTTTCCTGCCCTGACTGGCTTTGAACCTTGATTCTTAGATCTCAGCCTCCTGAGCAGCTAGGATTATAGGTCTGAGCTACTGGTGCGTGGCCCAGGGTGGGTTTTGGTGTGGAGCACCTCTGTATGCCTCTCCTGCCTTTCTCTGGATCTGTGAATTCTGTTGGCTTCCAGAATAGAAGGAGAACTGGAATGGGGGTGGGGGACAGCATCCATAGGGCCAAGAGAAACAATGTGTGCCAACTTTGTGTTCTTTTCTGTTGGTTAGGGTCTCAGGAATAGCTGAGCCTACAGTCCCTGTAAGCTGGCCAAGAGCCCAGTCAGTCCCCTGTTTAGTCTGCAGCCAGGTACACATTGGTCTGGGTCTGCTCATGGGTCAGGCTGTGGCTGAGGCAAGGGGTAAGTTCCTTGGTTGGAGGCAAACGGAACATCTGGGGTCAAGCTGTGTCCAAAATCAGAGGTCATCTGGGAGAGGAGCTTAAAGACTTAGAGGCTGCCATGTTTGGAGCTAGGGCAGGAGCTTCTCAGAAGGAAGGATGGGTTAGAGTATACTCTGAGGCTCCTTTTGAGTTCCACTCTCTGCAGTTTCCTCTGCTGTCACCAAGTAGCAGCACTGAGCGGAGGCTCGGAGAGCAGTGGAGAGTGAGAACTGAGCTTTCCAGTTGTCCCTGAAGGTGGAGGTGAGTAGTTAAGAGGGGAGGAGGAACCCTACCTCTCAGTATGGCATCAGCCCACTCTGGCTAGGCTCTGTGAATCCTTCCTCTAGACTCTAACTCCAAAGCAGGTAGGCCCTCCCTGCCTCTGAGCTTTGCAGCCTGGATACCCATGGTGAGTACTGGGAAGCCTGTGTGGCAGGGAGAGGGAGAAGCCCACGGAGCGGGCCTCTAACAGATCCCCTAGAGTGAGAGTTCCTGCAGGCCCAAGTGGGGGGGATCACATAGGCAAAGGTCAGGAGGCGGAAAGGAGAAAAGTATGTTTAGAGGCAGTGGAGTTGGTTTGCTCTGTTAGAGGCAGTAGAGTTGGTTTGCTCGGCTACACAGTTTTCTCAGAAGTCATCAGAGATGAGGCTGGATGGGATAGCAGTAAGGCTGGAAGGTGGTGTGGTTGAGTCTGTTTAGAGGTGGTTGCTTGGGGCTACTTCCTGAGGTGGACTGTTTACTAGGGAGGGAAGAAGCTGACCCAGTGAGGACTCTCACCCTTTCTTACCAGTCCATCTGCCCCATTCCCAAGGCTGGCATGGTGCTAACCTCTGCAGTGGGAAGGTGGGAATCTATGTGCTTCATCTCAAGGCCTTTTAAGGACCAGAGGCCTCATGTAGTCATTGCCCAGTATAGCCACCAGGTGGCCCCAGCAAGCTTAGCTCAGTGAAGTCCCTCCCCTCCCCTTCCCTCCCATTCCTTTCCTTCCCTTCCCCTCCCCTCCCCTCCCTTTTCTTCCCCTTCCCTCCCCTATCCTCCCTTCCCCTCCCCTTTCCTCCTTTCCCTTTCCTTCCTCTCCCCTCATCTTCCTCCCCCCCTTTCCCCTCTTCTTACCCCCATCTTGCCAGCCACCCCCTGCATGAGGATCGCTCAGGTTCCTGTTGAGTTTTTGGCTGGAGTAGGCACAGGTGAGGTGGTGCAGTGTGCTGCTCTCAGGCCTGGTGAGGCCTGACAACTGTTTTGGTGACTGGCATTTATAGTGCACATTGCCTGAATTCCATATTTCATTTGGAATTTTCAGAGCGGTCATCTGTTGATGCCTCACGCCTTCTGCATTACTCATACCTAATTCCAGACTGAGAGGCCTTCTGAAGTGCTGGGGGGGCCACAAGACAGTTGCTTTCTTCCTTTGGTTTCCTTTGATTTCTGAGAATGACTTGGTTTGGGAGGTGCTTGTCCAAAAACCAAGGGAAAGCTGTTGGATTCATTGAGGCTGCACATTTCTCTAGACCTAGTTGGGGTTGGAGTCTATAAAGAGGGCCATGTGCCTGGGGTGTGTGGTGGGGAGGAGGATGTGGGCGTCTGGGAGACCAGCACTGGGGCCAGGGGGTCAGGCTCCCACATCCTGACATTCTTGAGCCCAGAACCAGTGTGTGAAGTGTCTACACTAGACCAATGCATACTTTCACAGCCTTAGCCTGGCTCAAGCCTCACTCCTGCATGATGTCAGGCCAGCTTTAGCTTCAGCTGTAGTTTCATGTCTGAGGGAGGGAGGAGGGCCTGGGCTTGTCCAAGAACACACAGCTGAAGGGTGGCAGGAGGAAGGCCAGACCCGGACCCTGTCTCCCAGACCATGTCCTCCAGGCCTCACTGCCTCCTCAGGAGACAGTTCTCCTTTCCCAGCTCACTGAAAGAAAGCATGGCTATGGAGAACATAAGAACTGGAGGCCATGGTCCTGGCCCAGAGGTATTTCTAGACAAAGCAGGAGCAAGGCCACAGGGTAGAGCATGTTCTAGAGGCCATCATGGAGACAGCCTGCAGGTGGGAGCACTAAGCCTTCCCATCCTTCCCCCGGGATGGATGGAGCCTGCCATGAAAGCCTTGGCTGCTGACCTCTGCCTGTTTGAGCTACCTGCACTCCATGCAGTGCCTCTTCTACCATCCAGGCCTGGCTGAAGGCCTGATCACCTCTGTGTATGTGTGGGACCAGACAGAAGAACTGCCTGAAATAGCAAAGAGAATGAAAACCCTTTTGAACTGAGCCATTTCATGAAGTAGGGATGGACACCAGAAGGCCAGGCACAGGCTGAGGAGAGTCCAAGAGGACTGCCAGCCCACAGCATGACACCATCTGGTGGATTAGTTGTTTCCTCTTGGGCTTGGAAAGGGAAAATATTTGTGACGGAATCCAAGGTAAGAGTTCTTGGAGGAAGCCCCGCGAGGATCATTAATGCCAACACCACATTTCCTTGGCTTTGGCTGGTGATGTTCATTCTCAGTGTTCTCTACAATGGCCTGTGGGTCTCCTGTCTTCCTTCCAGAAAGAGTCTGAGGCAAAGCTGAAGTGAAGGTAGCCCTGTGAGGCAGTAAACTGGGGTTGGTTGACACAATGGATGTTTTAGCTTGAGTAGTGCTGTTTTCTTAATTTTTCTCCTTCTCCCCTCTTTTTCAGTTTGGTGGTAGTAGGGATTGAACCCAGGGCTTCTAAGCCACACCCCACAGCCCTTTTTATTTTAATTTTTGTTTTTCAGACAGAGGCTCCCACTCACTTTGCTAGGGCTGGCCTAGAACTGAGATCCTCTGGTTTTCTCCTAAGTAGCTGGGATTACAGGTGTGCATAATCACTCCCGGCTCCTTTGGAGTTTTCTAAGAACTTAAATGATCTCTTCTGGCCTGCAGAGGCCCAGGACAGGTCGTATTAGATGCATTTTACTAGGGAAGAAATGGTTTTGTTCCTGGCTGGAAGTGGGACCAAACCCTGTTTTCAAACATTTCAGCTTATGCTTCTCTCCCTCCATAGTGGCAGCCAGGACCCAAGGGGCAATTTGTGGTCACAGAAAGAGAAGGTCTGTTGAGGAAGCCATGGGTTGCCTACTGTGTGCCTGCTGGGGCTGGTGTGGAGTTGGCCCTGCGAACAGGAGCTGCTGGGAGGCCAGTAAGGCCAGGTTCAGAGGCCATTTAAGAAAAAGAGAAAGCAACATAGCTCTGGCCCTGAGCCCTGGGTGGTTCCTTCTTGGCCTTTCTTAGGACTGGGGTGTGGCAGTTCCTGAGAGGCCTCATTCCTGTGGGTAGTGTCTCCAGGGCTGGCCCCAAGCATGTAGAGCAGCCCTGGAATGCTGTGAGCTGTCACCTAAGACGAACAGGAAGGAAGCACTGATGCCCTACGTACGCTCTGAACGCCAGCCCAGAACTGAGCTGGGGTGTTGGTACGGCCGCCAGATTGGAGTGTATGTGCATGTGTGTGTGTGCACTTCCATGAGTGTGAATATCATGGGCACACATATATCTGTGAGTGTGGGAGTGCATGTTGTTATGTACGTGTGGGCGTGTGCATGCTCTCCCCTGTGTGAATGTCATGAGTGTGCATGTGTGTGCTCTTGCACACAGTTGGTCTCTTAAGTGGATGCCATGGGCTTGGAATTTTTGGTGGTTCCAGGACGCCTTCAGCCCCCACACCAGCATTCCCTGGCTCCCGGAACTCTCCCTATCTGGTGAAACTGGCCTCTCACTATCTGGAGTGTGGCCTGTTTCACCTGCAAAGCCCCAACTCTGCCAGCTTGGCTCCTGGGGCCCTGCTGGGCACAAACAGGGCTCTAGTCTCTAGAGAGAAGATGACTGGCCGGATGGGAAGTAGTGTACATTGTCACTTAAATAAACAGGAAGCCGGTCCTGTGCACTGTCCCTCTGACTCTTTGCCCACTGGGCTGGTCTTGCAGGACAGGGAGCTCTCTCTAGGGATAGGCAACCTGGACTGTAGCTCTGCTACTGCCAGCGGCCTCCGCTTTCCTGTCTGCAACCTGGATTGTTACCCTGGGCTGCCTGCCTTGAAGGGTACAGGGAAGGGGGAGTGACATGGGGCGTGGCAGGCTTGGGGTGATGGGTAGGGTCTGGGGTGGGCTCTACCTTGGTAGTGTGGAATCCCAGCATCCAGCCTAGGGGTGCTGATGAACAAGGTTGGTTGGGTGTGAGGCAGGAGAGGCCTGGGTGTGGGGTTAGTCCCTTTGTGCAGAATGAGATATGATACCTCTGGAAACCCAGGGACCTCTGTGGGAGGGCCATTGTGTGTTTGAGGAACAGAGCCAGAAAGTGAGGTGGGGAGAAGGGGAGCCGGTCAGAAGCTGGAGGACTGGAAGACTGTCTACTCAGACTTCAGCCTCTGATCTGAGTGTTACAGGAGCCGGTGTGGGCTCAGAAGCACAGGCTTAAAGTGCAGGAAGACTGACAGGAGTGGCAGAGGTGGTGCCAGGGAGGTTCTCTGGCTGTTGCTGAGTTGAGGGTTGGTGGGAGGGGGGTAGGCAACTTCTGGAAGTGGTTTTCCTTTTCTGTTGTTGTTGTTTTTGGTTGGTTGTGGGGCTTGAACGCTGGGCCTGGGCACTGTCCCTCAGCTCTCCAACTCAAGGCTAGTGCTCTACCACTTGAGCCACAGCACCACTTCCAATTTTCTGGTGGTTAATTGGAGATAAGAGTCTCACGGACTTTCCTGCCCGGGCTAGCTTTGAACCAGGATCTTCAGATCTTAGCCTTCTATGTAGCTAGGATTACAGGCAGGAGCCGCCCGTGCCTGGCCCTGTTTTGAAGCGGAGCCCATGGGCTTCTCTGATAGAGTGGATGTGGAGTTGAAAAGGGGGAGAAGCTTGGAGTAGCCAGAGGGATGGAGTGGCCGATGTCATGGCACACTCGTCACAGGTGTGGGGAGGGCTGTGGGCACATTGGGTGAGGTCCAGGTGCCTGACCAGGAGAGTATGCTGGGCAGCACTTGGTGCAGGAACAGCTTCAGGGTCCACATGGGGTTCCCAGCCATCTAGAGATGGTAACTAGAAGCAGTGGGAGATGAGCTGGGCAGTGAGTCGTTGGTCACAGAGCACCTGCTGCAGACCAAGTCTTGATGTAGGCCATCAGGGCCTGGCGATAATCTGGGCCTGGCATTTGGGAAGACAGACTAAAGCAGTTAAACATGCTTTAAGATGGGATGTTTCACCAACATTTTAGTCTAAGAGCAGACAAGGCCCAGGAGTATGAGGTTGGGGGCTGCAGGACCACTTCACTCACAGGACTGTTTGGAGAGAATAGGATGTGTGCATCAGATCAGATGTGACACACTCAGCGTGGCCATGGTGTGCAGTAGGCCCTGGACATGCACTGGCTCCTATGGTACAGGCAGCCTGAGGAGGCTCCCAGCCCCACCTCTGTGGCCTTCTTCATGGTGGCCCAGGAAACCAACAGAACTTCCAGAGTCATACTGGTAATGCCAGGCCTGCACCTGTGCCAGGCAGACAGAGGTATAAGGGACCCAGCCTCCTCTCCTGCCCCCCCCTCCCCTTTCTATTTTGAGGCCCAGTCCCAATGGATGAGGAAGCCTGGTCCAGCTCCACCACAGCTAATGACAGCCTGGCCTGCCAGGCCATTTAAAAACAGTGGCACTATTTTTATGTATAAGAGGTGACTGGGCTGGCTGCCTCCTCCCGAGGTAGAGCTAGCTTTGGATGGTTTTAAGAAACCTGGGGCCTTCAGAGGCAGATGGGTCATTGTCTCAAATCACAGTCCTGCGATCGAGGGCAGGATATGTGCCTGCAACCTCTGGTGAGGTCGAATGTCATCTTTACCCAGTGGTCTGAATTTAGAGATAATTCTACCCTTGCCTACCAGCGACACTCAGAAAGGATCGCTCCACCCCTTCCCCTACATCCTCAGGCCTAATCCTTGCTGCTGCCTCTCAGGATAAGCAGGCCTCTATCCCTATGGGGTAGACGGTGCCGATGTGGCCGTGGCCAGGTGACAGCCAAGGTCTTATTACCCACAGGATATTTCTTCTGAGCTCTTCAAGTAAGAGATGGTTAAAATGACTGTCCTTGCTGGGTGTCAGTGGCTCAAGCCTTTAATCCTAGCTACTCAGGAAACAGATCTGAGTATTACAATTTGAAGCCACCCCAGGCAGGAAAGTCTTGTGAGATTCTTCTCTCCAGTTAACTACAAAAAAGCTGGAAAGGGAGCTTTGGTTCAAGTGGTAGAGTAGCAGCCTTGAGCATGAAAACTCAGGGATAGTGCTAGGCTCTGAGTTTAAGCCTCAGGACTGGCGCGTGCGTGCATACGTACACACACACTCACGCGCACAGGCTGGTCAGTGGAATTCCTCTCCTTCTAAGAAAATGTTTTAAATAGACTCCAGGCTCTGATAGAAAGTGGAAAAGGACCGCAGCCTAGGGGGTTGAGGTCGCTTGCCCTTCTGTGTGTCCCCAACTAGTCACCCTGGGCCTGGCAGCTAGGCAGGGACACCTTATACTGACTACAGTTTGCATTTAGGTAAAATCGTTTTTCTCCCCTAATTTCCAAGATATAGATTCCTTTTAGTACCTGCTTAGTTGATCCTTAAAGCAATAGGCTTCCTGCTCACTGCTTGCTGCACTCATCCTCTTGTAAACAGCCATAGGGCCTTCCCCCAACCTCAGATCCAACTCTGGCCCTTGTCCCCATGGCCCTCTTGACTTGGCTCCCACACCCCTATCTGGAGCCTGCCCTCCCCCTTCACCTCCCGCTGCCCTCCCCCATGTCTGCCCTGGGTGGGGGTTCCCTGGGGACATATCACATTCTTGATACCTTCTCCCCACTGGGAATACTTGCTATCACCTCTCCCTTCCTCCCTGCTGCTGCCCTTTTTCCAAAACACACCTACTTGGTAGTCCTGTGAGCTTCTCAGAGGGCAGGGCCTGGGTGTGACTCCATGTCCAGACCTGGGGTCAGTATAGCTTCTCATGGGTTCCAGATGTCATCTTATCCTTCACTGGGAGGTGTGGGGGTGGTCAGAGCATTGGCCCTGGTCCCCAGATCTCTTCTGGGCAGCCCACAGCCCATCTCCCGCCCCTTTCCAGGGCCCCTGGCTTTGCCAGTTACCATTTTTTTCCTATGACCAGAGCGTCTCTCTAGATGCAGAAGTGGGTTCTGGGAACTCCAGACCATGCACAGGCTCCACTCCAGCTCCAATACTTAGGGCTCTGGGCCATGTCACGTCTGGGGTGGAGCCCATCCCAGAGTCCCCCACAGCAGCTGAGGGGGAGAAGCATGTAGGCCAACACTGTGTGCCTTCATGGCCAGCTTTGGCCCAGCTGCTTCCCAGCTGTGGGGAGGCTGAAGCTCACTGTGCGCTCCCACTGATGTTCCTGGCACCCAAGGGCTATCTGGTGCCATGTCCTTTCCTGGAGCAGAGAGAGCTGCAGTGGGTGTGTGGGAGAGTGCAGATGGAGAGGTACAAGGTGAGGCAGGCCTCACATCCAGGCCCTCTCCATGGGGTGCGGTGAGGGCTTTGTGAACAGCACATGGTGGTTTAGAGGAGAGAAGTCAGGCTCAGTGGCGGCATACACAGAGGCCAGCCTGGCTAAGAATGCCCTGGACCTTGTCCCCAGCCTGTCTCCCTGACCCTTGAGAGGATCACCTTTTAAGGCCCTTTCTTCCTGACTTGAACCTCCATTGTTTCCCTCACAGGCTCCTCCCACACTGAAATCTGGGGCTCCCCTCTGCCGAAGCCATGGTGCCCACCTTGGCCGCTAGCCTCTAGAAACCATTCCGCCCAGGCCTCACCCCTGGCTCTCACTGAGGTGAGAGAGGTCTGAGGTGGGGCCAGACACCTACACTTTTAGGCTCCTGGCAGTTAGTCACAGATAGCAAGGTGCCTTGAGCCCCAAGCTGCAGGACTTACTTCCTAGCAACACTGGTGGCTTCTGTAAACTGGCTCCATGTCCCTTCTTGTCCCTCAGAGGCCTCCTTCCAGCCAGGCCAGCTGTTCCTGGCCTCTTCCACGGGGCCTCATCCTCATCTCTGTGCCGCCCCAGTCTGGTGCTCCATCTTTCTTTGCAAGTGGTTCTTGTGACCCATCTGAAATCCTCCACTCTGGGAAGCTTACCTACGGTCACTTCTCCCCATCATGGGCATTTCCAGAGAAAAATTGATATCCTGTCCCTCTGCCTGTGCACCTGGGCTCCCCGCCCCATTCTACTGTGAGGTCTCCTGTTTTTTGGCCAACGTCACTCTTTTTGCTCTGTTATCTGGCCCCAATCTTTGGACTGCAAGCACATCCCTGACACCCCTGATCATTAGCAGTTAGAGCAACATGGAAGTTAGGTAGGGACTTGGGGGAGAAGGGTAGGAGGGAGAGGAGTAGATGTGCCCTCAGCAGGAGTTGGCACTAAGGATGCCTCCTGGTGGTTGGAGCTAGGCATCCATTGGGTCCTGCTGCCTAGAGTGCCTTGCCATGCCTTGGGCACTGCTCTATAGGGCTTTCCTGTTGGCAGCCTGCCTCATCTGGTCACCCCTCAGAACAGGGTTGTAGTCACAGTTCTACAGTGAGGAAGGAGAGGCTCAGGGAGGCCAGGCAGCCTGCGTCATCTCAGTAGGAAGTGTGGCTGTGACCCTCAGCAGCTGGTGTGGCCCAGGGGGCTTCCCTGTGACCCTTCATCCTGTCATCTCAGTCACCCTGCTGGGTACTCAGGCCAGGGGATGTGTGTTTGTGTTGGCGACAGTGAGTCCCCCACGCTGACCCTGCCCTGCCCTCTCTTCAGGCGAAGGCTGCCAAAGAGGCACAGGAGACGCAGAGGCTGCAGCTGAGGAGCCTGCAGTACTTGGAGCGCTATGTCTACCTGATCCTCTTCAACGCCTACCTCCGCCTGGAGAAGGCCCACACCTGGCAGAGGCCCTTCAGCACCTGGATGCGGGAGGTGAGAGCGGGAAGGGAGGCTGGGCCCGAGGCAGGGTGGGGGGGGTTTCTACAGGGGCAGTGAGCTCACAGGTGGCTGGGGTCCTCCTACCTGGACCCAGGTATGGGGCTGTTCTGTGGAGGGGGAAGAGTTCTTTGCTGCTCTGCAGGGTTGTGTTTCATGTAGTCATGGGTCTGCATTTAGGCGGCCGCCACAAAAGTGACAGCTGAGTGAGCAAATGAGTGGAGAAGGAAGTCAGGTGTAGAGTCAGTCAGCTGGGATCCTATTCTGTGCATCTCCACAGCCAGCCTTGCCTAGGTGCCTGCTCGGGGCCTCCTGGCAATTCCTGTGCATTGTTGTGCCCAACCCCTGCCAGCATCCTGTGGGTGAAGGGCAAGGCTGTGTTGTCCCTGCTCCTGCCTCCTTGTAGCTGTGACCTTGGTCAAGGTGATCATCCTGGAATAGCATCACAGTGTTGGTGTTGGCTGGGAGAGTGGTAGGGATTCAGTGATATCCATTCAGTGCCATCTGCTAGTCCTGGCGATAGCCAGACATGCCTGAAACGCATGGCTGCTGCCCTCCCATTCAGAGGTGACAGAGAGATTCAGGAACTTGCTTAAGGTCATCATCAGAGCTAGTTGGTTGGCTCTAAGACCCACTTTGTTCCGGCCTAAGCCATTATCCTTACCCTTGGATCTCCATTCTTCTTGCTTGGACACCTGCAGCTCAGGAGAATGTCCTCCATCCTCCTCAGGGAAACTTGTAATTACCCGTGGCCAGGAAGCTGGCCCTCCTGACTTCCCTGGCAGGTCCTGGTGGTTCTAATCTGGACGCAGACCTAGAATTAGCTCCTGTGAGGGTAGAGACCCAGCCAGAGTGGGTGGAGGATGGGGATGGAGTAGAGACCAGGGTATAAGAGGGTTCTGAGCTGTCTGGGGCCCAGGCAGGGAATAGGTTTGGATTGATGAGGATGAACTTTAGCAGCTGTTCTTGGGATGTCAAAGTGGGCAAGCATTTGAGATGGGCCCTTGTTCATGTGAGTGGGCCCTGAGTCAGGAGACTTGATGGGGGTCACATTAATGAAATGTTGGGGCCAGCCTGCATGAGCAGGCCTGGGTTCAGCATCCTTTTTCCTCTTTTGTGCCAATACTGAGACTTGAACTCAGGGCATTATGCTCTTGCTTGGCTCTTTCACTTAAGCCTGGTGCTTTACCACTGGAGCTACATCTTCACTTCCAGCTTTTTGGTGGTTAATTGGAGATGAGATTCTCAGGGACTCAAAACTAGTCCATGCTAGTTTTTTTGGGTTTTTTTTGGGTCCGGTCGTGGGGCCTGAACTCTGGGCCTGGGTGCTGTCCCTCAGCTCTTCAGCTCAAGGCTAGCGCTCTACCACTTGAGCCACAGTGCCACTTCCGGCTTTTTTCTTTTTGTTTATGTGGTGCTGAGGAATCGAACTCAGGGCCTCTGGCATGCAAGGCAAGCATTCTACCACTGAGCCACCTTCCCAGCCCATTTTTTTTTTTTTTGTTGTTGTTGTTGGTTGTGGGGCTTGAATACTGTGCTGGGGTGCTGTCCCTCAGCTCTTCAGCTCAAGGCTAGTGCTCTACCACTTGAGCCACAGTGCTACTTCCAGTTTTCTGGTGGTTTATTAGAGATAAAAGTCTCACAGACTTTCCTGCCTGGGCTAGCTTTGAACCATGATCCTCAGATCTCAGCCTTCTGAATAGCTAGGATTACAGGCATGAGTTTCAGTGCCGGGACAGTCCAGGCTAGTTTTGAACCATGATCTTCAGATCTCATCCGCCTAAGTAGCTAGGATTATAGGCATAAATCATGGTTACTGGACTCTCAGAATCCTTTTGAGTCCCTGGATGGGCTCTGGTGAAAGTGGAAGTCGGAAAAAAATAACCACTTTGAAGGGCTTGGAGATGTTTGGCTCCGTTGGTAGAGCACTAGCCTGTTAGCGAAAGCATTAGGTACCAAGTTCAAGTTCCTGTCTTGAACCAAAGAAAAGAGAAGAGAGTGGCAGTTGAGACCAGGTACTGGGAGGAAATATGATTCCCCTCTTGAACCCGCTGTTGTGTGTCAGGGAGACATTAGGAAGAAGAGCTTCTGGTCTGGGCAGGAGCATGGTTCCAGCTGTGGGGCCTCAGCCTCTTCTGGGATGATGCATGGAAGGCGGGGGTACAGATTTCTGGGACTGGAAGTAGCTCAAAGTCATCCCTTTATTCTAAGTGGAAAACATTCTTCTAGTGTTCCAGGTTGGTGGGGAGAGAAGGGATCAGACTGTTGGAAGTTGAGTTTGAGGCCAGGGCCTGGGTGGCTGAACCTCAGGGCTGTGGGGTGAGTGTCCCGGGAAAAGCTGCCCTCCCTGGGGCTGAGAACCGAGTGGCACTCACACGTGAGGGCCCCTCCTTACTCTCCATTCAACATGGTGCAAGCTGGCCTGTCCTCCTGAGGACCCTAGGCATGCTATAGAGTATGGTCTGTTTGCAGACCCCTCTCCATGTAGTCTTATGAGTAGATTTTTCCGTTGACTAAGGAAATGGGCCAGAGAAGGAGACAGATGGACATAGAGACTTAGGACAGTACTAATCTAGTGGGAAGCAGCCCTGGGCCCCAGACTTTTCCCCATGGGCCTCGGATCCCTCTGAAGAAATGATGGAGGGAGTCAGGGGTAACCTGATGGTATCTTTTGTCTCCTGAAGCCCTCCCACTCTCTGTCCATCCCCAGGTGGCGTCAAAGGCCGGAGTCTATGAGATCCTCAACCAGCTGGGCTTCCCCGAGCTGGAGAGCCAGGACCAGCCCCTCTCCAGACTGCGCTACCGCTGGCAGGAGCAGAGCCGAGACTCTGAGCTCTCTGCTGCTGAGGATTACTTGTAGGGGCTCCTTATGCTACCCCTAATCCTTAAGGGGGCAGTCTGGAGCTTGAGGTTCTCATCAGTGGAAAAGGTTCTCAGCATCCTGGAGATTCTTTTCTTGGAAAGAGGTTTTTATGGGACACGCAGAGAAGACACACAGCCATTCCTTGTAACCCCAGAGCCACATGATGGTCTTCCAGAGAGGCCTGTGTGTGTGTACCTTGCAGACTAGCGGGCATTGGGCTCACTCCCCAAATTGCCCCAGAGCTAATGGTCACTTCTGGCCTCTTCTTTCCTCTTAGCAGTCAGACCACCTTGCCACGTTCCTTCCCATTCTTCCTCTGGCTGTTCTGCCCTTGCCTGTCTCCTTTTTATCATCCAAGCACTGCCCCGGTGGCTCCAGCTACCTGAGGGGGGTGAAGGGATGGCTCTGGGTGAATTTATTCCTTTTAAAGGCAGCTTTGCCCAGTTTCCTTCTGTCTCTTGCCTGTCTCCAGCTTAGGAGACTGTGAGGTCCACCTGTATAGCTGGGCTGGATAAGACTTAGCCTCTCCTCCTTTCCCCCTCTTTCTTCTCCTCTCTCCCGCTGTGGCAGGGGGTGGAAACATCAGATTGTCCCTCAGTTGGAGCCAAGAGCTTCCAGAAGCAGAAGCAGCACCATGGGGGAGGTCTGCTGGATCTGTTCCAAGTCTGAACAGCAGGTGTCAGGAGCCAAAAACCGGGAGCCATGGCCCCTCTGCACCTTACTGTCCCCACAGCCAGGGGGAGCCCGAGGATGCCAGGGTCAAGAGTGGTTGCTGGGAGACCCTGGAGATCAGTGGGCTGTTAGGATTCTAAGCTGTTCCTCAGCTGCCTCCCTGGCGGGAAGCAGCTGGGACAAACCCTGATGAGCTGGGTCCAGGGTCAGCTCTACACAGTGGAGTGGCTGTGGGGATGAGATCCAGAGAGTGCGATGCCTGCAGCTGAGGAGCCTGTCCATCCAGCCATCTCCTTGGGCCAGTGAGCTCATTTGGGCTCATGCTCTTCTGCTGAAAGAGAAATATGTCGTTATTTAAAAAGGGGAGAAGAGGTTGGAGTTGTTCACATCTACCCAGTATTGGAAAATATTGATCCTCTTAGCTGAAGTCTTTTGCATAAACTACTGTATGTCCGCTCATAACCTTTTCAGGGTTTAGTTTTTGTCTATATATATATGTATTTTTTTTGCATGTATGCAGAAGTGTTTGTTTCTTTGCAGACGAGAGCTAGTTAAGGAGTTGGAGACAGGGCTGAACTGGGATAGATTCTTTGCTTCTCATGGTCGGCTCTATTATATGTGTTGGGACCATTAGCCGATCATGTCACCTCTCTGCCTCAATTTCCCCATCTGCAAAATGGGAGATAATACTTGCCTACCTACCTCACAGGGGTGTTGTGAGGAATCATTTGTGATTTTTTTTTGTACAGAGCTTTTTTTTTTTTTTAGCATTAAATACAGCTTAACTGTGAGTTGTGTCTGACTGTTTATGTGTCTGGTGGGAGGTAGATGCTCAGAATTGACCCAAGTTAGGGTCCTCCACTGCTTCAGAGTATGAGTAAGTACATAGCCAGTGGAATGCACCTACCCTTGGCATTCCTTTTGTATATGTGCTGGTCTTATTGCTTGAACTCATGGCCTGGACTCTGTCCTTTAGATTTTTCACTCAGGTTAGTGCTGTATCATTACTTGACTTTTTTGGTGATTAATTGGACAGAAAAGTCTCATAGACCTTCCTGCCCAGCATGGCTTTGAACCATGATACTCAAATCTCAGCCTCCTGAGTAGCTAGAATTACCGGTGTGAGCTACGGGCACCTGGCTGACATTTCTAATTCTCAGAGAAGATGGTCCTCACCCTCCTCTTTTCCTTCAAGACCCAGTCTGTCCAGCCCCTTCAGGACACTGGAAGATTGGACCCGGCTCAGGTTGTAAGAATTGTGTGTGAAGGGGTGGTGGGCCTTTCTCTGGCACTTGTGGGAAAAAAAATCACGACACTGGTTTCCAACTTCATAGACTACAATTCTACCCAGCGTGCTCTACCATCTCTACCAAGAAGCTGCCAGTCCTGTGGATGAGAGCCAGAGAATTGTTCCCCTGTGGGATAAATGCGTGCACACATGCGTGCACATGCGTGCGTGTACACACACACACACACACACAAGCGCACACACAACTGAAGAGGCTGTACTGAGTTGACTCCAGAGCCTGTGAATGGCATTTCAAACCTCTGGAAAAGGCAATGCCCAGTCTGAAGTTTTATTCCCACCCCTGCCCTCCACATGCACCTCCCATTTGTCCCCTTTCAAAAATGGCCTACTTGTGGCAGACCTCTGTGGTTCATACTTGTCATCCTAGCTTTGTGGGAGGCTGAGATAGGGAAGGTTGTAACTCCAAGCCAGGGCTAGGCAGACAAGTACAGAAGACTATCTCAATGGAAGAAGCTAGGAGTGGTGGTTCATGTCTGTCATACCACAGACAATGGGAAAAACAAAATAGTCAAATCATGGTCTGCGTATACGTAGGGCAGGAGAGGAGACCCTATCAAAAATAACCCAGTGCAAAAAAGGGCTAGAGATTGCTTAGGGGTAGAACTCCTGTCTAGCAAGCAGGAGGCCCAGAGTTTAATTCCAGTGCCCTTAAAAAAAGAAGTCCTATTTGACAGTTTTAAATAGTAACTGTAGCATGTTCCCACCCAGCCTGGGCCTGTACTACCTGCCACACACTTTAAAACAAAGTTTAGCCAGTTTGATGACTAGAAAAGAAATTACCATTTAATTTGTATAACATATACTGTAGCAAGATATGAATTGATTTCTACGTTTATTGTGCATTGCATTTTCTCTTTTGAATTGTCTGTATCTTTTGCTGACTTTTTTCTTAATTGGCTTTAGGATGGTAACACTTCATCCTATATGTTTCCTTTATTCTTAGCTTTAAAATATCTTCAGATCTACCTCAGATACAAGGAATTGTATCTCAGGCTCCCCTGAGACTGACCTGTTTCTCTCCCCCCCCCATTAGTGACCTTGGCCTACTGTGATGATAATGATGGTATTACTACTACTACTATTAGTACTACTACTACTATTAGTGTTGGTCCTAATGCCTGAACTCAAGACGTAGGTGCTGCTCTGAGTCCATCCCTCTCAAGGAACACTCTACCTATCTTAAGCCATACCTCTACTGGTGTTTAGCTGGCTAATTGGAGATAAGAGACTCATAGACTTTCCTGCTGGGGCTGGCTTTGAACCAGATCTTAGCCTCCTGAGTAGCTAGGTGTGAGCCATGGGCACTCTCTCCCTATCTAACCCTTTTCCTTGTCTTACTGTGCTTCCTAGTTCAATTTTTCACTATGTATATTGAGTCTTTTATTTTTAGGTTTTTTTTTATTATCTTTTAAGTGGTTGTACAAGGAAGTTCCCATTCTACAAAACAGTAGATTAATACAAAGTGTCTGATGTATATTGAGTCTTATAAGTATATTCACCCCACAGTTTCTCTACCCCCCACATTATTGAGTTATTTATTCTATTTTTTTAAAATTTATTTTATTCTATTTATTTTATTTGTGAACATACTGTACAGAGGGGTTACAATTACATGGGCAGGATAGTGCATACATTTCTTATCAAGTATTGCAGCCTCCTCCTTTGTTTACCCTTCACATCCCTTCCCAGCCTCCCCCACCCCACCCAATCCTCCCCCCCCCAGTTATTTATTCTAGTACTTTCTCTGTCTAGCATCCTATTTGACTTCTTTTACAGCCATTATTGCATCAGCCTCCTAACATGATGACATACAACGCACAAGTTCCTCCTTCCTTGTTTTCCATGTAGAGATACTGCTTGTGTTACAATTGCTGCTGGAACCAGCTCTGGGTGTGGAATCCTTTCTATATTAAGAAATGGCAAACTTGTGAAAGTTGAGGTGACTTGATACAGGGCCTGGGGGAAACATGATGATATTGCGAAGCTTCCCTTCAAGTTCGGATCTAATGATGTTACACCCCAGGGTGCTTTCAAGGGTCTCTGTACCTCCATGGGAGATACTTTTCTCTGTGAGTCATGGGTGGAGGTCTGTGCCTGGTAGGTGCCTTTGGAGTTTCTCTTCACACCTTCCCTCCTGTTTATATACCTGCCTGTTTCCTCAGTGGATGCTTTGGTCCTCCCATGTCATCCACAAGAGATCTTTAGGACAGAGTAGCAAGATCACTTCCTGCCCTATCAGAAAGGGATCTCAGGCTTCTTTGAGCTGCCCAGGGCCAGCTTCTGAGTAGCTTAAACACCAGAACTAGGTCCTTTCCCACCTCAGCATCTCTTTAATTTTTGCTTGTCTGATAAGGAAAGAGCAGTCTTGTATTATCATCCTAATATTACTTTCACAGAGGGAACATCTGTGTGGTATAGTGTGGTGTGGGATGTGTGTGTGTGTGTGTGTGTGTGTGTGACATCTGGATTAACTTGTATTTTTGGTTGTTGGTCATGGGTCTTGAACTCAGGGCCTGAGCACTATCTTTCAGCTCTTTTGCTTAAGGCTAGTGCCCCACCACTTTGAACCACAGTGCCACTTCCAGTTTTCTGATGGTTAATTGGAGACAAGAGTCTCATAGACTTTCCTGTCTTTCCTGTCTCTTTCCTCCTGAGTAGCGCCAGGATTACAGGCGTGAGCCACCAGCGCCTGGCTTGGATTAACTCTTAGGTAACTGCCCACTATTTTTTAAAACTATTTTTGTTTTTTAATAGGCATTGGCCAAGTATAGTGATGCACACTTACAATCTTAGCCACTTAGGGACTCTTCCTCTCTCTGAGAATTCTTGTTCATAGCTGATAACTCACCACTTGAGCCATGCCTCCATCTCTGGCTTTATGATGGACTTTTCTACCTGAATTGGTGCTGAACCATGATCTTCAGATCTCAGCCTCCTAAGTAGCTAGGATTGGAGGCATGAGCCAGTGGCTCTTGGCTCTTTCTTTCTTTCTCTCTCTCTCTCCCTTCCTTCTTTCCCTTCCTTCTTTCCTTCCTTCCTTTCTTTCTTTCCTTCTTTTTCTTTCTTTCTTTCATTTCATTTCATTTTATTTTTTTGTCTGTCATGGGGTTTAAACTCAGAGCCTGGGCACTGTCCTTGAACTTTTGTGCTTAAGGTTAGCACTCTTCCACTTTGAGCCACAGCACCACTTCTAGTTTTCTTTTTTCCTGTGGCTAATTGGAGATAAGAGTCTTATAGATATTCCTGCCCAGGCTGGCTTTGAACAGTGATCCTCAGCTCTCAGCTTCCTGAATAGCTAAGATTACTTGAGCCACTAACGCCTGGCTCTCTTTGTCTTTCTTATTGTCTATGCATTTTGTAATTTGTAGACAGAGAAGCTGTGACCTACTGCACTGATTTACTTTGCCCACTTTGGTCTGCATGGTGGGTGTGTGTGACTGTGGTCAGCCTTTGAAAGCCTTGCTGTCTGCAGAGAGCTGTGTAGAGCTGAAGTCTTAGAAGTGGTGTCAGGCTGCTGCAAGCGGAGCCTGGTGGAGCTGACTGCCTTGGGCTCTGTGGAACCCTGGTCAGTGTTCCACCTGCATGGTTCTCCTTGGCTTTTCCTGGGGTTGTAAGATGGAAGTGAACCTGGGTGTTTGTGTTTCATGCCAGGGGAAAAACATGCCAGTATTTGGGCTCAGTTCTCTCAGAAGGGTGTTAGCTGGTCATAAGAAGCCATGAGTGGAGGCATGGAAGTCTTGGGTGGGTCGACATCCTGTGGGGAAGAAGGAGGCGATTCCATCCTTCCCATCCCAAGGCTTGAGGTTGATACTTCAACAACCAAAGGCAGGTTAAGCCAGGTACTAGTGGCTCATGCCTGAGATCCTAGTTTACTCAGGAGGCAGAGATTTGAGGATCAAGGTTCCCAACCAGCCCAGGGAAGGAAAGTCAATGATCCCTGAGATTCTTGTCTTTGATTAATCAACCAAAAGCTAGAAGTGGAGGTATGACTGAAGTAATAGAGCACCAAAAGCCAAGCCTGAGCACTGAGTTCAAGTCCCAACACTGGCACACACATACAAAAAAGAGAGAGAACATGCCACCCTTCCACTGCATCCCTTCTTTTAGATGTTGAGTTACTGTTTCCTTATTGAGTCTTGGCCCAGGAATTCCTGACCAGACAGAAATGTTCAAGGTCACATAATCAGATACCCAGGTCATAAGACCCTTTTGTTGTAACCACACCCTATATTTTACTGTCTCCATGTGGCCCCTTCCTCTGTTTCCATTTTGTGTCCTCTACCTCTAACCTCTGCCTGGCCTGACTTCACTTTTCTGCCTAATAAAAGAAACCTTAGTTGCAATAGAATTATACCATTTCTTTGCCAGCCAGGCTCAAGAAGACTTGGACACCCTTCTCAGGTTTGGAGTCTAATAAACTTGGTCTGTTAAGATTGCCACTCTGCTCCTTTCCTTATTCATACATGTGGTACTGG